CATCGACCACTTCAGAGAAACCTGTTTCTACATCATCCATATTATTAGCTTTGAAAAGTTCAAGATCCTTTAGTGAAATAAGTAGAGGTAACAATTTTTAAATACAATTTTCTAACTTACCCAAGTCCACAAAGCCTATGTCAACATATAGCTTGGCACACAGGGAACCTAAAAGAAAGCCAAATATTGGTCCTATAATCGCAACTGTCTGTACACACCCTGGAAAAGAAAGCAGAATACTTTATCATGGGACTATTTTTATATCTCATATATCCTCTTTAGCCAGTCCAAATCAGTGCTGAAGTTAGTTCAGAATTGTACCTGAATTGATTTACTCGAGGCTGATTTTGGTTTATGGATTTGGTGACAGAAAAAAAAAGTGACATTTTGATGGAGTAGGCCAAATTCTCTTGTTTGCTACAATTGAACTAATCTGGAGCCACTGAAAATGTTCACGTCATCCAGATAAATAGTGTGTGATGTGATGTCATACTGGTGAAAAGTGGTGGTGGACATTTTAGTTTGCTGAAACAAATACTATTCTCACGCACTTTGGTGGAATTCCTATGTACCAGTAATTCCATTCTAAGAAAAGTTACTTCAGAGAAGCACTGCTGCTCCAAAAAGAAAAAAAAATGGCCTTTTGCAACACAGTGTCACTTTCTTTTTTGTTGTCATCCAATTAAATGGGACAAATCCAGTGTGGAGTAAATGTAACCTGAGAAATGTGTGTGTAAAATACAGCAGGCATCAACAGAGCTGCAAATGACATATTTATGGTCAAAGTGAATATGGTCAGGCAGTTAGGTATAAATTGGTCAGGACAAAGGACAAATTGTTAAACAGAAGGAGGATATTTAAGTTAATGGTGGACAAACTTTTTAAAAGGTTGAGATGACTATTTTGGATTATTATGGAAAAGTGAAGATATTTTATTAGGCCCTGTCAAAGCTACTTCTAGACTTTGTCAGAGTAGAAATACTGCAAGAAAAAGCTCTGGAAATAAAAGGCCTTGTTTGTGATATTTCAGGTGGAAACATATTTCAGGTGTGTTCTCTGAAACAAAGCAGAGAACAACATTACAAGTATTTCTAACTCTGAATGTCTGGTTCTGATTCAGCTTGAATTTGGAAGAAAAATTCCAACTTTGTACTCCATGCTGTTTTAAAGTTAAAGTTAGCCTAAACAGTATATGAATATGTCCTTCTCTGTCCAGAGAAATGAATAGGCATAACAACTCAATAGCATATGTGAACGGCACTTAGAGGACAAAGGAACCAGAAGCCAAATTATTTTTTCAGTTGAAGATAATAGGACAGCCCTGCTGTACTTAAGAGGGGAAATTAGCCTTTAAAAGTTTTAGGCAACACCTTAAAAAATGGAAATCATATAAGTAAAATAATCAAGGAAGGTCAATTTAATAATACTCAAGCCAACTCAATTTGCTTCTTGCAAAAATGGGTCATTAGGAAAAAGGGATGTGATGTAATCATTTTTACCAATGTAAAAGGCAGCACTCTCCTCATTGGCATAGTCATCAATATAGGTAATTCCCAAAGGTTGAATAGGAGTCTCTCCAATTCCACGCAGAAGATTCCCCAAAAAAACATATATCCACATGGAAGTTCCAGCTTCTTTTTCACAACCTAATACAAACATGTAGAGACAGAGAAAGAGACAGATCTTGTTTGTGACATTTCAACATTAAATACGCAAGATTAAAATCCGTCTATTATATGGGTATATCTCTTGCTAACTTCTGCAGAATAGGCACCTCTGTATTTGGGAGCAGAAGTGAACTCACTAATGAACTGAAATGGCAAAATAATCCTCTCTAGGGTAGTTAGTGGAAGGGATTTGTAAAGTACTTCTCTGCTGTGTTACATATCAGGGCTGCAATACTGTGAGCCACAGATGTCCCCTTTCCTCACTGCACCACATGTGTGGGCAGTAGGCCTGTGCGAAGAGGCTAGTATACACTTTAGATTTGGATTCGGCCAATTTGGGGGACAGTCATTTGATTCAGTGATTCAAATCAGTGTCCCAAATCAATTGGTCTGAATTTGATTCAGAGGTTTGGCTGCCACCAAATAGGTCGAATCTCCAATTGAACAGGCCCCATCCCCCACCCACTGCCCCCATCAAAAAAAAACCTCGTACTCACTGGCCCCTGCCAGCTGGAGGGGGGGGGCAATCCCTACTGCCCCATGCTGTGTGGGGGGACTCTGCTATGAGCCGCCAGAGGCCCTGACAGCTGCTGCAGCAGCCAGTGAGTGTGGACCTTTTTTTTTTAATGTATTTTTTTTAAGTGCTGGGATGTTGGCAGCCATTGATAGGGCTGGGAGAGCAGGAAGGGGTTGGGGGGTGCTTGGGGGGTTGTGGAGGCAGGGTGTGGGTTGTGAGGGAGGGTG